ACAAAATTGACCCATCAAAATTAATTGTGATCTAGTGGTCATTTACTCTATATTTATTATGCATAGTCTCATATGAATACAGTTGCAACATATATATTTTTAATAAAGCCTTTCCAAAATATAAGGACAACATATTTCAATTTATACAGTGAACAATGAATGAAATGATGGGCCAGGTGAGTGATCTAGGTCAATCTCGGCCATCTTGTTTATTATGAAAAACCCAAAACAACCATTGTTGTGAATATACATACATTGTGACTAGAAACGCAAGCTGAAGTTGAGGTGGTCTTGCCTTTCGGCACGTGCATTTGAACAATTATTTCTAACACAGAAAAAACCAGTTGTTACTAGTGAACGATTCAGAGCCATCATGGCCCTCTTATTATATATTATTTTATTATGCACACTTTTATTTAATTAAATTATGTAAAGAAATGAAACACACTTTATGCCTTCAAATTTTATATGTGTAGGAATTTTCGATTCCCCGATCATCTTATCAAACAACATTTTTTATAATCATATATTTGAGTTGTAAGTACACTTACATTGACCGACATCCGGTATAAATTAACAAAAGGAGTTCTTATAACAACAGCTCAACGAGTTATAAGGTGTCAACATTTTATGGTGTACAGTGGCAAATACTTTGAAAATATTTAGTAAGTTTTTGATGTCACTGCTAATAACGTTGTGATACCAGTTACGCTGCGCCGTATTCGCATTATTCTTCTTGCCTGAAACGCCTGTGGTGATTATAGTGTGTTTTACTGGTATAATTCTTGTTTCAATGTTAAGAGGGTAAATTACGCTAAATAATAAAGTGTTTGTTATATGAACCTTAAATAAACGTTATTTATAGCTTAAATCTCGGTATTTCTGGAGCATCCCTCGTACTTAAAAATAATTATTCAAATATATTATATAAATTAGATTCCAATTAAAACATTACAACTTAAATATTTTATGGTGTATTTATTTTCATCTAATTTTTAATCTTCAATTATATAGTTTAATAATACATTTGCTCATCTTTAGGTAAAATACTTTTATTGAAGACATTTATTGAAATGTTGGAAATTTTCACTTTATTTGTCTGATTTTTATAATTTTGTTAAAAAAGCTCCATTCCCTATTACTGGTGAAGTTATTTTTTGTCTTTTCTTAAAGAACTAGTTTTTTTCAACGCCATTATGTATTCGTATTGTGTTAGCCTTAAGTCTGTAGTATTTAAAAGGAAATATTTTTTTTCTGATTTAAAACTACTCTATATAGCAAAATATATTAATTATTTTCAAATATGATCTTTAAGCATAATGTATCTTTAACATTTAGCATTTTTGAAGATGAAATTCCTCTTATAAATAGGCAAAAACAGTAATGGTGAGCTGTAATTGGCTTGAGATAAGTAATTGTAATAAAGTAAAATACTAATTAGTAAGTATAAACTGTTTTTCACAAGAAGTTCCATTTTTACTGATGTTTTGCATGGTTTCACTATCTTTACTTTAAATTATTCAACATAAATATTAGATATGTTTTTATTTAGAGTGAAAAACAAATTACAATACAGCTGTATATGTAATTGACCAAATTAATATTATCACAAAAAGCGAATTGATACTCGTATGCTTATAAACAATCTTATCCAAAATGTTTGATGCAATAAAGAACTGATGCCACTTAAAAATAGAATGGCTATATAAAACAAACAACGAAGCAATCATTTTAAATAAGCTATTTATTAAATATTTTAAACGCTTTTATAACGTTTAAATGGTAACAATTGTCAGGGTGGTAATTTCTAACACCTTTTATTCAGTACGGTTGAAGGAGTTATACCCCTAGACAGTAAGTAATAACATTCTTATCTTATATACCTTATATAATAAATACAAACTGAATTAATGTTCAATGTTTATCAAAAATCTTTGAATAGCAAAATTTAACGAATATTTTCTATAATTTAAAAAAAATTCATTCTTTATTTAGTTAAAAGTTAATAACATATTGTTTTCTAAGCTATTTATATACAAATGGACTTTTAAATCATCTAAAATTTAAGAATTACGACTGTACCACAACGAATAGACAATAACATCTTAGAATCAAAAGTGACTAACTATTCCAATCAAAACTTGAGTATTTTACAAAGATATTAAAAAAATATCGTAACGTCTCGCTAGAACTCCGCGAGTCGGATGTGTCGCCTTGTGAACAGTATAGCTGTCACTTATGAATTTTCTTCTGAAGTATAGGTTATTTATAAACACTGCTCTTACAATGTGCATGTACCTTTAACTTAAGTGGCATTTGAACTGATTGTGACAATGTTACATCAGGATTAATAAAACTGTTATATTATCAAAAATAAAAATACCATGGAAAAGTTTTACACTGACAGATCAAATAGAGGACTCTGTGATGGTTTCTTAAGCACTGCCAGTCAGGTCAATAAAAAGAGTTAACATACCAAATTTGGAGTCAATCAAACTTATAATGACCAAGTTGTGGTCTGGATAAGCCTATTCTGTAAGAAAATTAACATAGGGCAATACCTAAAACATCATGAAGTGCAGAAGACAAGTTCTTGTGCACTGCATTTCTTCGTAGTAAGATCTATCATCTATCATCCTATCATGATGTTTCAAGTACATCGCTTTTAAAGCTTAGGAGAATTGGCCCGGACAAAAATAAAGTATTATTATTACCACAGGACATAACTCTTAAATCATGAAGTACATAGTACTGTTTCTTGTGCACTGTTCTTCTCAAAGACATCTATCATCCTATGAAGTTTCAAGTTCATGGCGTGTAAATTTAGGTGAAATGGCCAGACAAAAATGAAAAGAAAAAAAAAAACAAGGGGCAATGACTACAAAATCATTGAATACAGAATACCGTTTTTATGCTTTTTACTTCCTCTCACTGAGATTTTTCATCCTATGAAGTTTCATGTCCGTAGCCCTTACAGGATTAGGAGAAATGGCCCGGACAAAAAATAAAAAGATGAAAATTAACAAAGGACAATAACTTAAATCACGAAGTACAAAGTACCAGTTTTTGTGTACTGTACTTATGCTTAATAAGATCTATCATCCTATGAAGTTTAAAGTCATAGCTTTTATAGTTATGGGGGAAACGACCAGACAAAAATATTAACAAAGGGCAATAACTCAAAATCTTGAAAAACAGAGTACCGGTTTTTAAACAATGCACTTTATCGCAATAAGATATATCATTCCATGAAGTTTCAAGTCCATAGCTTTTATAGTTTATGAGAAATGGCCCGGACAAAAATAAAGTATGAAAATTAATAAAGGGCAATAACTCTAAAAATAAGATATGCAAAGTTCCGGTTTTTGTGCACTTTACTTTTCTTAATGGGGTCTATCATCCTGTGAATTTTCAAGTCAAAAGCTTTAAATTTATAGTTTTGGAAAAATGGGCCGGACAAATATAGAATAAGAACAAAAAAAAAACGAAGGGCAATAACTCGAAAATAAAGAAATGCAGAGTAACAATAGATATGTATTGCACTTTGAGTTATTAAAAGAAGCGTGCATATCAACTTTGGAGTCAATCCGACATATAATGACTAAGTTGTAGTCCGGACAACCTTTTATATTCTAGGAGAAAAGGGCCGGACAAAAATAGAATAAGAACAAAAAAGAACGAAGGGCAATTACTCAATAATAAAGAAATGCAGAGTAACAATTATTATGCATTGCATTTCGAGTTATTAAAAGAAGCGTGCATATCAACTTTGAAGTCAATCCGACATATAATGACTGAGTTATAGTCCGGACAACCTTTTATATTATAGGAGAAAAGGGCCGGACAAAAATAGAGTATGAACATAATGACAAAGGGCAATAACTCAATAATAAAGAAATGCAGAGTAACAATTATCATGCAGTGCACTTTGGAATATTAAAAGAAGCGTGCATATCAACTTTGGAGTAAATCCGACATATAGTGACTGAGTTATACTCCGGACAACCTTTTATATTCTAGGAGAAAAGGGCCGGACAAAAATATGGTATGAAAATTAACAAAGGGCAATTACTCAAAAATCTTGAAGAATAGAGTACCACTTTTTAAACATTGCACTTCATCTCAATGAGATCTATCATCCAATGAAGTTTCAAGCCCATAGCTTTTACAGTTTATGAGAAACGGCCCGGACAAAAATAAAGTATGAAAATTAATAAAGGGCATAATTCAAAAAATAATTAATGCATAGAAAAGGTTCTTTTGCACTGCACTTCTTCTAAATGCGATCTATCATCCTATGAAGTTTCAAGTCCATAGCTTTTATAGTTTAGGAGAAATGGCTCGGATAAATATAACGTACGAAAATTAACAAAGGGCAATAAAAAATTAAGAAGTGCAGAGTAACTATTCTTGTGCACTGCTCTTCGGGTCATTGAAAAAAGCATACCAAGTTTGGAATCAATCGACATATAGTGAGGTATGCTCCGGTCAAGCTTAAGGGGCGCCGTCGCCGACAAGGAGGATGTCGTAATACAAATATTTAGACTCAACGACATAGTTTTAAGAGCACTCAAATCCATACATTTTTCAAATTTTTGTGGGCATGTTATATTGTTTATCAATGGCCTAATATCGTTGTAAAATAGGACAGAGAAATAACTTTAATTTTATCTCGATCTGGCCCTTTATGTCAGTTACTAATCATAATATTAGCTTACGTTTTGTATGTGACAAAACGTTACTTATTCACCATTCATTATCATACAATATTGTATTTTACTTGCTATTTCATATTTTATTATATTTGTGTAGGCCTGACAAGGTGACAGTAATCCAAATTTTACGTTGCATGCAATTGTTATGCAATCTTTAAATTGAAACCAATTGCAGAAGTTAAACAGGCAACTTGTGAATGGTTAGCAATAGTATGATGGCTGTTATATGCAAGTATAGTAACTTTATATTCATTATTAATTATTTTTTAGTGAAACATCTTTTATTGTAATCATTCTAGTCACTAAAGAAGACGAAAAATGATATATATTGCAGTGAAATCACAAGTTAAAATGGACCGGTTACTGTTCTAATATCATTATAATGCACACAATTTGGTGAAAGTGTCCTGCCATTATATGTATCCAGTGACATATCACAGGGTTTTGTTTACAGTAATTCTCTTTTCTACTGTAGTACTCTAAAGAGTCGGAGTAATATAGTCTCGGTGTGTATTATCACCCTCTGTCATTGTTTGCATTTCCACGTATGGTCCATCATCAATACGATAATCATCATCAAGATCTTCGTACTCGTGTATCGCTTCAATTTCATTAGAATTAAAGGTTGACTGGTTTTCATGGATATCTTCTAAATAATATCATTAAAATCACCATATAATACTTTTTAAACTTAAACAACAAGTCATTCCTTTGAATTTCATAATATTTATCTTATCAAACGAGTGCTTACTACGTTAAAAAATAAATATCAATTGCATGTTAAAACATTGCTTTATATTCAATATTTACCGTAATATACAAAACTGATACGTCTAACATGATTATTCAATAAATGATATTCGGGTTGATACAAAATTATAGGTGTCATTTTTTATTAAATCTTACCGAGCCTCCAATATTTTCAGTTTTGTCGTTTTGGGCGTTCTTTAGGGATTTTAGTTTTCTCTATTTTAATTATCGAACTAATTCTTGGTTAATAAATGATTGTGATAATAACTTCATAAATTATATACATGCTTACCAGCCGTTTGTTTTGGGGATTGTTTTTGACTTTGTTTCTTTCTGAAAAGAATAAGTCTTTTAATTTACACACAGGCAAGCTAATTGTCAGCATATTAATAAAAAAATATTGTTTTTTTACGATTGGAGAACACTTTGATAATCTAATGCAACAACAACAACAACAACATGAAAAAAACAAGGAACTGGCAACACTAGCGATCTAATGTAAACTTATATAAAAACATACTCAGGCTAATTATGGGTAACAGTAAAAATAACATCCCGAGGAAAATACTTTTATCCGAGTCGTTAGCCCGAGTTAAGTATTTATACGAAGTATGATATTTCAATTGTTATTTATTTTATTACCCCGAACAAATAATGTTATCATTTTAAAATTTCAAAGATTTCAACTTAATCTAACTGAGTGTAACAAAATTGAACCAAGAGTAACAATAACTTCACTGTCCGTCCCTTGCAAATTGTAAGTGTACTTGAGAAGTTATTTTTCTTTTATTTTTAAAGTAAATGTTGATATCTACCAGTCATTAACATACAATAAGCTGTGTTTCATAATAACAAAACACAAACCAATTTATACGGTTATGATCTGTGAAATCTGACCCTATCTAGAATATTCATCACATGGTGGTTTGACCATGTGCATTTACCATGATATCCTACATCCGTCTGCTTTTATGTTTCACTGATTAAATTCGATACATACTCCTTTTTGCATTATTTCATCGTCTGCTAGTTTCATTATGATAAATAGTTGTAAGTAATAAAACTTTCGTTTTTTTACTACTCAACCAAAATATATTTTAGGCACGAAAAGCACTCTGTTGGGCACAAACAACTAGATTTTCTGGGTGTTTAGTACCTCTGGTGATGCGTCACGACTTGGTGAACTTCGAAATATATAGGCTGAATCAAGAAAAAAATGGAGGCTATCTTAAGCTTTAAGAAAAAAAACATGTGACAAGATTTTATACTGTTAACAAGAACTGTTACCCCTGTAACAGTACACATTTCTTAGTCAGGTATATATTTGCTTTAACAATTAGAATAACTCATAGTGGCTTATGGAAAATAAGCATTACAAAAAAGTGAGGGGTTGTAAAGAAAACTGAAAAGTAATTGTGTATCCGCCTTTGCGTCATTACTTTTGTAAATACTAAAACTGCAAATATTTACCTGATAAATTTGCAACACAAAAATGCCACAACACCTGCAACAATTGTCAAAACAGCTGAGACACCAGCTGAGACACCAATCAATGTCCAAATCAGTGTAGAATCTTTCTTCGGTTGCGTAGCTTCTTTAGAAAGAAATTTGTTACGGTCTTTATCAATTTAATAAATATTCTTATTTCTTTGATAAAGATTGGTTCTTACGATATACGCCCAGTCATTTATAGTTTTTATTGTTTCATTAAGTTATGTAAAGTATTAGTCACAAGATGTTACTTTTACAGAAACATTACATTGGTTCAAATTTGTGTGATGAACCTTTTTAGCATCATTTAATTAAACACATCTTCTTGAGGTTAAAGATGTCTATACAATATATATGGTTACTACGATTATGTAAACTGTCTATAAAACATCTAATATATAGGTCGTTACCTTTTTCTTGCAATTTATAGTAGTGAATGTAATGACCGATGGAATTCTTGACCTCAACACGGTATTGTCCATAGTCTGATTGTGTCATGTTTCTTATTATTAAGGTGGATTGTAATCCAAATGATGATAAAATGTATTTCCTACCGCCATTATGTAACGACGAGTTCTGATTATACCATGTGAATATAGTGTTATTTTCCTCGTCAAAATATTCTTGAGCTAAGAATTGCAGCGTGACATCAGAATGAAGAACAGCTGTTAACTTCATTTCTTTTAAATTGCCAGTGAACGGCTTAGGTGGACCTGTAAACATGATAGTTTAAAACTCACAATGCTCTGATAATAACAACTATCTCACATCTCACATTCTTACATAATGTTATTTGTAAACTATAATTTAGTACACAATTTCAGCTTAAAGTGTTCTCAATTTTTTACCTGTCAAGCTAAGCTGAATTAGAAATATATCTAAAAATAACTAATATAAGGATGATTAAACAGGAATTAAAAATGAAAACAAAGATAATTATATTTTTATATTATGATTAACAACCCAAATTATAAATAGGTTGTCGCACACGCTCTTTTTTAGAATTGAGCATTAACGACACTTTTTGATTTTTGTTGTTGCTAATGCGGATTGTTACTTATTTTTTCATTACGAATGTAGTTGGTTTGGGTTTTCCTGTTGACTGATATGATAATGTGCATTTGAAACTTAAATGAAACAATGGCTCTCTAATGTTATCAATACAATTATGCTTGTTTTCATATTACAATCTATTGAAGGCAAGTTGAAGGTCGCTGATTAGTAAAAACAGTCGAGTGCGTAAATCATTTTAAAAATATTTGAAAAGAATACATCGTATGATTCAATTTACGTATGAATTAAAGGAGCGTCAAAACTTACATTTGACAATGAGAATAAGTCTTGATATAACTCCTTCTCCAAAAGTTAATAAGTTTCTTGCAGAACATGAATACTCTCCCGCATCAGTGCAAGATACGTTATGGATAGTATGTTGAACAGAAATATTGTTTATCTTCCAAGTAATTTTTTCGTTCGATGGATTTATAATCATTATTTCTGGATGAGGATTTGACTCGGCAATGCACTTTAAAGTCAACTCTTCATTTTTGTTGACGACAAATTTGCCTGATTCTGATTGCCTTACTAATATTGTGAAGTGAACATCACTTGGAGGAACTGAAAGATACAGCACATATTTAGTTAGTTGTGTTAACTCCATTGCTCAAACTTACCTGAAAATAGTTATATTAAAAAAGAGATGTCAACATATTATTAATTATTTATGTTGAGATTGTAAAATGATATAATGATATACTGAAATGATGTTCATACAGACTTAATCACAAAAGGTACTGTCACACTGAACTGCGATACCTCGCGAGCTGTTTGAGACACACACTTTAGACAAATCTCGATCGGGGTTTCCTTATATGAACGACATGAATGCGTATGTCGCCCAAATGTTGCGCGAATGTCGCACGCATTTCCTGCCAAATATCTCATAAAGATCTCAATTATGCCGCTAGAATATCACACGACTATCGCACGAGAGTTTTTTTTATCTGTTTTGCATGTTTGCCAACGTTTTTTACTTTCGAAATACGTGCAAAATGTATGCGAAAATTGTACGAAAGTTATAAAATGTATTGAAAGAAATGAGAAAAATCAATCAAAAATAAAGGCATACTCGAATTTCAGCGGTCAGACAGCAATTGGGATGGATCAATCATTGGATTAGAACGGTAATTTCGTTGCAAACGACAATGACAATGCTGAAGTCTGCAGGGTGTCTGACTGATGAAATTGAGGAGTGAGTGGATGAGAGAATGACTTGTGATGGGACCTAAGTATTGGATGTATGAGAAGCTAATGAAGCATTTTAAAGGAAATACGTTCAAGAACTTTGTTAGAGATGGCCCGGAGTCAGCATAATTGTAGAAGATTAAGGCCCTAGACATCAAAAGAGAAAACAAACTTAATCTGTCCACTCAATTCAGTTAATCGAAGTTTGTCATCACTCTCATGTACCTTACCACTGGGGATTTGCACATGTCATGTGATTTCAGAGTGGCCCACAAAGCCGTCGCCAAAACTGTGTGAGAGGTATGTCAGGTCCTATATGAGCACTGCCATAGGGAACATTCAAATTTCCAACAACAGTAGAGAAGTGGAAGTAGGTGCCGGAGGGTTTCTTAAGGCAATGGAACTTCCATTACTACAAACATGGATAGATACAAGCTCAGCCATCAATGGTGCTCACTATATTGATGGAGTGCCTTGTGAGTGCGGCATTCTTTGAGTCGGGCTCCGTTATTTCTGTGTAGGTCCTTGATGCAGGTAGAGTGCTTTCTTTACGTCGGCGTGAGATATTGACATATTACTGTTGCTCGGACAGATATCAGTTTAAGATTAAAGCGCGAGTAGTAGTAGTTTTTGCTTTACAGTGTCCATCCTCCCGTTAAGTCACAGAAAGCAGCTATCGTTTTCGGGTACATGTATACAACCCGGTCACTAGTCATTTCCTTAAAGGCTATTTTTGAAGTACAAAGTTGTGATTTTTGAACTCAGAGAAATTTTTTTTTTTATGTTTACTATTTTGCTGTAGAGGCCAATGAGACCATAATATGCAAAATGATGAAGAAAAATAATGTATTGTTGCCAAAATAAATGATCATATCTTTCTGACGGGCTTGATTGGCATAAGATTATACAACTCGGATTGGTACCTGACACATGTATTCTGTAAGCATAGCTGACATGCAAGATCATTCTTCCCAAAAACAAATTGTAACAAAATAATTGTGGACTGGTTCCCTTTATCAATTTTTTTATTAATGAAAATACCCCATACCGGTGAAATATGAATAATATTATAATACATAGTAAGAATCTGCAAATGATATAGAACACATGATTTTATTCTGTTTTGCCTTTCCATTTCAGGTAGCTTTAATCAAACGGCGCTTGTCTCCATTCTACATTATTCTTCGGTCAGCTCATGTGGCTGTATTTGTAAGTTTTGGGCCAAGTTCCGTCCACATTCTAAAACATATCTCAAATTGTGTTATGGTTTTTCCTTTTTAGGAACTTGGTTGCTATGGAACAGGGTTGTACTGAACTTCGTCTTCAGGCATTTTTAAGGGCCTCAAGTGTCCAACTTAATATTATATGTTGGCATAATTCGTGGAAACCACAAAGAGATCGGTTTGAGATGGGTTCGCGATCTATGCAATGATTTTGTGAATAAATTGAGATAAATATAGTCGCACGAATTTATTCAGCATGTTGAAAATTTAAGTGACAAGAAAACAAAGGTATGCGACTAATTCGACGAAATTTGGAGCTTTCGAGACATTATTGAAACTATCTCGCGAATGCCGTTCGCAAGTTCGTGGCTCACATTCGCAGTCCAGTGTGACAGGGGTTAAAGGTTTTTCTTTACGGTTTCATATGGCTACTGTTTTCATATGACTACAAATTGATAAAGAATTATGATATATTACTGTTGTGATAAAAATGCAAAAAATTAGACATATTATCATAACATAATATTACTTACACAAAACATCAAATCTGACGTATGTTTTCTGAGTACCACCTACGAGATGATCAGACTCACATGTACATTTACTGTAATTGCGATTCGCTATACTTGCAATTTGTGTAGTTACCGTTGTTTCTGTTATTGAAGCATTTTGTGTTGTATTAGTGTTGAAACAAGCCATTTTTAAGGTGGCTAATGGTTTACCTCCAGTTACAGTGCAATTCAATTTTACCGATTCTGACTCCACAATCTGAAATATCTTGTCTTGTTCATAGCCAATTATAATCGGAGGACCATCGGGTGGATCTTAAGTGTTAAGAATAAAACAAGTTATTTAAAAGCTCAAAATTTCAAATCAAACTATCTTATGTTATCTTTATATTTTCAAAAGATAATGATAAAATAATTGTTAAACTAATGAATTCATAATAATAATACTAATAAAAATATTCATTAAAATAATAATAATAATAATAATAATAATAATAATAATAATAATAATAATGAGTAAAAATATATAGATACTAATAATAATAAAATATCTTTATGCAAAAAAGATCAATATTATATTAATATATCAAATATTGGTAAAGTATGTCCAATTTCGTACATGCCACATTTAGTAAAATTTCTTTGCTTGAAATGTCCGAATATGTCGATCCTGTCCATACTTCACAATGTAGGTACCAACTGTCGTGTGTCCTGTTAAGAAGAACATGGAGTATGTTTTCAGCTGATATTAACCCTCCTGTGAAATATAGGATTGTGTCGAACGGTCAGTTATGTCTTCTGTAATAGTTGAATTTCGCAGATACCATTTGACTGTCGGTTTTGGAAAGCATGCCGAGGAATTACAACTGAAAGTTTGCATTTCATCTTCCTGTATATACACGTTTTTATTTGAATGAAATGTAATGTTCACAATCTTGGCTGGAGCTGAAATAGTTGTTACAAATTACAGCATTTGAACAAAAGCTGTGCTTTTAAATACGTCAAAATAAATGTTTAAGCAGTCCGTATACAAATAATCAATAAAAAGTAGTCGTTTTTGATATTACTTCTACTAACTTTTGTTTACCAATACAAGAGTACCATCTTTGAAAAACATCATTATAATTGTTATACATGTATAACATTAAATGATAACTACACATTTTTTATCGGTGGAGCAAAAGAATATTTTCCGCAAAGGGAATAAATTCTGTGATCTGAGTCATTATCGTTAAGAAAGAGTGTAACCATTGCTTGAATCAGGTATGAACTGAAATATGGTGCTACTCGTTATTATATGCTTTCAATCTTCATAAAACATACATCAGGTGTTTATAAGCATAAACCTGACACATCATTATTTGCTTCGTGAATAAGTTGGTGAAAATGTCACGAAAATATGAGAAAAATAATGACATGCCGTGTTGATCTAGTCATTCGTCTCACTTTGTTCAATGAAACAAGTTCTAGACAGAAAGGTACAATAACTGATTTATTGAAAAAATATTATTATATTAGTTTAAAAGTGATTTTGTTAGTAATTTTGATATGAAGGTAGACAGAAAAAAAAACATAAAAACTTAAATATGTTGCCTTTTAAAAAGGCATTTTATATTTGTATAACGTAACTCTTGCTGGTTGTATCTGTACAGTTGAATACAATTAATGTTAGAGTCATCAGTTAATTTTAAGGTTTTAACATTTGACCAAAGTTGGTTTTCACATCGTTGCCTACCTTATATACAAAAACAATTCTTACCTCGAACAGTAATATAAGCAATATTGCTATCCCTAAACCCATGAGAACAATACCACCTTTCACCATGGTTACTAATATTTATACGCTTTATATTAACTTTGTAAGTACCATTACTAAAACAACTTGTTTCAAAATAACGACTATCGGCAAGGAATCCATCTGCTGAACATGCCCCTTCATGTGAGTAATACAGGTGTGCAAATGTGTCCAGATGATTTATAGTTCCCCATACCGTCCCTGTTACATTTTCGTGAGTATTACACACAAGCTCCAAGCTGCTGTTTGCCAATACTTCATTGTTATCTGGTGAAATATCCGGGTTGTCTAGAATTATAACTGTAAAAACAATTTCAGACTTTGTTCAAATAATTTTGATGAAAATTAAAATCAAGCCTCTCTGTCAGAAATAAATCCGGTTCCATCGGCTTTTATGTGCAAATTATCCTAAAGATGTTGGTTTATATAATTATGCCAAATAATAACTGTTTTATACTTTATGAATATTACGTTTTTGTATATTTGACAAATATTTTAACTTTAAGGGTATTAACAAAAAATATCCTAGATATGCAATTTTCGCACAAGACACCCCGTCACATATGTACAATACCTTGGGTGTATGTACTCATCCATTTTAATATTTCACAATTCATTTTGATCCATTGATTATATTAGCATTTTCGTTTTTTCATTTGCTTCTGTGTGTTACGCTTACATTGACCATTTATTAACTAAGCCTCCTCGCAATGTGTAACATTTGTGCAAAGACTAAACATTTAAGTATTTTTACGTTAACTAGTGTCTAAGTATGACACATGATGAAGGTATTTTCTGCATGTGTATAGCATTACGTTCTATGACCTGAAAAATACTACATGTAATTACCTTGTGACATTGACCTTACACATATTGATCTAAATTGTGCTGTCAACACTATGTTTTATGATTGTTAACATTTTGGTATTATAACTCGATCCAAGACTACATAGGTACACCTGACATTTGAAGTGTAATCTTCAATTGACTTGTCCAAGGGACAAGGAATTTGTAAAGACACTCAGCATTACAATGACATTTCTGCCCAAAGTAAATCAAAATTCCCTAAATCGTTATAAAAAGATTGATACTGACATCATGTCTAATTGTGACCTTGACATTTGATCGAAAGCTGGTTTGTTCTTGTGACACAACATAACATCACACGTGTGTCAAGTAATACTTAATTCCCTGTATGTATATATAAGATGTGTTCCGGGCATAACTGAATGCTGAACAGACGGCCTTTTAATCGTCCTGTTTTTACTTCTTTAACGGGCGGATAAAATATTCCATGATTTCCATGAAATTGACGATTTGCAATTTTAAACGTTTTTAAATTCATGTCCGCTCCTTATCAATACAAACAATTGTAACAAATGAAACAACTATACATGAACAAATAATAAACATTATTTCCCTTTCTGATTTATAAGCATTTCCTTTAAAATTCAGATCGCTTTCAGGCAAATATGAAAAAATATGAAATAAAATCATGTTTCAATATATTAAATTTGAAATATATATTTAATTATTTTATTAAATGTTTATTAGAAAAAAATCTTTCTGGTTGTTTGGCTGTAAACTATAAGTTTCCATTCTGATAAATAAACTTACGTTTAGCTCCACTCATAAATAATAGTGCCCACAACAACATATTTTGAGAAGCCCGTAATTGTTAAAATAGTATTTCAAAAATAATATCCGTTTTCAATTGAACAAAAAGAGATAAATGCATAGGCGTTAAACTGAACTATTAAACTATTTTCTGTAAATGTTTTTTTTCTAATACAACGCGGTTCATTACAAACATTCTTTAAACAGCGTGCATTACAATTAACTTTTAAGCTAAATTTGGATGATTCATCACATTCACAAAAGAACAATAAAGAGTGGATAGTTAAAAATGACACATTGAAATTGTAAGTGTTTTATTTCTGAAGAAGGCTAAAATAATACATGCATTTATATAGCAAAGGATGAACAGAGCAATGACTGATGAACAATGGGCAGAAGGAAATTTAAATACTCTTCCGTTTTGTTTTACCGTATGTGAAATGAAATCATTTTTACATGAAATAATCTTACTCATTTGAATACATTTTTCTTTAGTTGATATTTGACTAAGTGTCACTCATAACCAAACGGAAAAAAAGAAGCTTATTTGTATTAAAATAGTGTAAATATGACTGATTTAGTTTTTAGCTAAGATAAAAACAATGAAATTTGTGTAAATAAGTACGAACATTCATTTTATAAACACAAATTACTGAAGAAAATCATATGTGTGCATATTTATTAAAAATAAATTGAAAAACAAAAAAACCTAATTTAATCAAATTGTTATACTAGTTTCTAATATATTTCACGAATGACCCAGGAAAGTTCTGCTTAAGATAACTTTTGCACTAGAGCTGTACCTGTAAACGTTTGTTTGTACCCCCAGATTAGCTGAGGAAACCAATCTATTCTAAATTTCGGATTAAGCCTATTAGGTTACACAGAATTGGTGTTGGCGAGGTAAATTTAAACATCGATAACAATTCATTTCCCCGAGTCCTGCCCTTCTAGTTTTGAAACCTTTATTATATTTTACTGGTATTCATCGGAACGTCGGTGGTTCTACTCAGGTGCCCGGTCGTGCCTGAAATAATGCACGGAGGGGCACCTGAGGTCTTCCTCCACCAGTAAAGCTGGAACGTCGCGATATGACCTATACTGTGTCGATGTGACGTAAAAACCAAAACAAACAAACAAAAAAACTGGTATTCATTCAGCAACTACCTCCTGGATCGATTGTATACTATATGCATACAGTAGTCTGCTTTTATATATCCTGCTTTTTCATTGATATTTTGGCATACTTTTATATTTGGTATACTAGTTTTGCATAATACAGCGATGGCGAAAAAAATTTCAGCCGGCTTAACACGTAATTTAACATAAGTTATAGTGTAAAACTAGTTTAGGTTAGAGCAGATCGAGTTTCCTTTAAAGCAGATCGTGTTTGATATTGATCTGGCAAGGCAGTATGTGCACACTTTTTATGTTATGGTTGATGACAAACGTTTGTTTGGAGGTGCTGGCAAAATGCTTTGAGGAAAAACAAGTTGATGTGTGAAATGTTACTATATTAAAGCAAATGGAACTTTAAGAATGTTGTCAGTTTTTATGGTATATATTATATAGTTTTTGACCTTAAGAAGAATTTGTACGAAAGTGTTTTCTTAACGGTTTGGTGTACTGATTGTATCAAAAGTAGGTAAACACCTTTCAGAATGTAGCTGTATTTATTATCATACCTGCATGTTATACGTATACTTTTAAAAATGTTGTACAAGAAAGTGGTTTTCTTTTTGAATTTATTGAAAGTATGGGGAAACAAAAGAAAAAAAAATAATTTGATTTTTTTCTATTATTTTAATTTACGATAATTTAATCCATGTAATCAACCTGACAAAGTTCTATCAATATAGTTGATATTGCTATCAGAATTCATACCAAACAACAAACCTTAGATCAAACCACTAGCTGTTCATTAGGTCTCTTACACACCTTGATCCATATTTAACTCTTCTCTAATTGAGTCTTCGGATTTGATATTGTCACAAATTTACTCCCTTCTATTTGCTCGGGGTACATAGAATATGCAGTTCATTCGCCCCATGCGCAATGAAGTATTATATTTAATATATTCCAAACGTAACTCAAAAAATTCTTACAATACTAAGCAGTGACATGTCAGCAAAAGATGTAATCTAGCAGTAGACGGATCCGCATAGAATGTTATGCTTCACTTTAATTGGTTTAAAAATATTACGTCTCGATATGGGCATTATCGATAGCTTATCAATATGGTATATAGCATACATTACTTTGTAACATTATTCATACTCTTTTGACTCCGAAGGTAATTAACAATTCATCACTTTTTATGTTTATCTATTTAAGTTT